CAGTTTCACTTCCCTTTCCATATTTCTTCGAAAATATTCGCTCAATTGCTCTTTCACGACTTCAATTGCCTTCGAGAGACTTCCCCAATGTTACTAGGTCCTCAATTCTAAAGTTGTTTAAAATCATTCCCTTGGGCGAAAACATGTCTTTGATTCCAAAAAGGATAGGAATGTTTCGCGTGTCCTTGCCTCCCGATTTTACAGTTTTACTTGCCTTTCCATATTTCTTCCAAAATATTCGCTCAATTGCACTTTCACGACTTTAATTGCCTTCGGGAGTCTTCTCCAATGTTACTAGGTCCTCTTTCCTCAAATCCGAAGCATTCGAAAGTTTTTCCCTTTAAAGAAAACATGTCTTTGATTCCAAAAGGGAATATTTCACTGTTCTTCTACTGAAAGCTCTTTGATCGAATGGACGGAATATACATCGGACTTGTTGAAAGCCGAAATTTCCTCTTCAGTTCATCCAAGAACAAAGTTACAGTTCTGATGCTGAAGTTCTCTTCCGGATATATCCATTTTTGTTCAACTTTTGTACAAGCAAAACTTTACTTTACTTCTTTTATCCAAACTAATCTCTTATCAATTGCCTTCGAATGTCTTCCCCAATGTTTCTGAGGTCCTTATTCTTCAGTTCCGAAGTTATCGAATGTTTTTCTTTGAAAAAAAATTTGGTTTTGAAATGATCAAGAATTTGTTCTTATATCGAAATCAATTTTATCCAATGAACGCAATAAGCAGTGGGGCTTGTCCAAAATTCTCTGAAAACAAAAAGTTCAAGCAGTTGAAGAATTGGCAATACTACTATCAAGAGGACTCAGACGGCCTGCAATTTCAGTTAGAATGCCTCTTTCTAGTAACATTTCAGAGACGGTGTCGCGATTCTTGAACGAAGCGAACTGGTTGATTCAATTGATTATCGAGTAGACAATGTTTATGACATAAATACTCGTTAACTTTACAGAGAAGTTACAGTTGTCGTGAAGATACTCTTTAATGGCATTGGTATTTCTTCCTCAATGTTTCAAATGTCGGAGATTCCCTTATGGAATACTTCAGTAGAAGTTGTGAACAGTCATTATGTCAGTGAAAGTATTCTATTATTACTTTTTCCACATTATCTCAACTGGACACTAATGTCTTCAAATGGAACGTCTTCTCCAATGTTTCCCAATTCCAAAGTTGTCGTATCTTAAGATTTAATTAAGTTGACGACCTTCAAAAGAAAACTAAATTGGTTTTAAGCCAAGGTTCCTTTAAGGGGAAGAAGTACGACTACTTATGGTTCCACTGATTTAACAATCTGTCCCATCAAGAGTTGATTATCTTCCAAATAGAGATCCCAAAAGAAAAGAACATTCGCTTGCTTCTGCTGCCAAAAACCGGGTCTATCTATTCCCTGTAAAACTCAATGAACTTCCGCAACAAAATCCAATTGTCACATAAAATATCAAAGCATTCCACCTCTCCTCATTTACCATCCTTCCCTCTCTCTTCATCACCACTCACTAGTTTCACCACACACTACTCTTGTGACACTTGTAACGCATAAAATGATATACAAAAGCAAAACATTTATTTGCATGCTGTATGTAAGTTTAAACTGCATGTTGCGCGGAACGTAAGTTTGAGGAAGAGCGACACTAAACCAAAAAAATAAAACATTTTTGAATTTATTACGCATATAACACTCTATAAAAGATATATGTATGTACAAAACAACAGCAACAACAAGTTTCAGATTTGATGATGTTCGAAAAGTTTAAGGAATAAAAAAAAATACTACAAGAATAACACAAATAATGAAATCAAATGATATGGAGGGAAATTTTATAAAAATCCCACAACTACCCTACACAAGCAACATCATCGAGATATTTGTCGATACATAAATTAATCATTTGAAATGCAGACAATAATCGTTTCAAGTGGAATGTTTGGGATAACAGTCGTGGTAATGATAGAGTCAGATTTATGTAGATATTTTGGAATAAGTCAGGCATTTGTAGAGCTATAGGTAATTTGGATTAGTGAGTATTTTCATGGCATTGGGTACAATAAATATTTAGAAGTTTTATTATTTTGAAGACAACATATATAAAGCAGAAAACAATATCTATGATTTTCACTGTGTACGTATGATTCAAGATCATTGTGGATCGCATAAGAACAAACAGGTGTCTGAGCTAGTTTGAGCAATTTTCAGAATAAGAACCTGACAACAAAGTACAAGTCTTGGAACAATATGTAGTTTAAACCGAAACTTAGCAAAACATACACTATTAGGTAGAGTTTGGATGGTTCTAACTTCGCAATCTTAACGAGGACGGTATTATAACTGAACTAGAACCGAACTAAATTAGAACTCGAACTGAACTAGATCTGAAATGGAACTGAAATAAAACAGAACCAGAACAGAACAGAACTAGAACAAAACTAGAACAGAACTAAAACAGAACTAAAACAGAGAACAGAACTAGAACAGAACTAGAACAGAACTAGAAAGAACTAGAACAGAACTAAAACAGAACTAGAACAGAACTAGAACAGAACTGGAACAGAACTAGAACAAAACTAGAACAGAACAGAACTAGAACAGAACTAGAACAGAACTAGAACAGAACTAGAACAGAACTAGAACAGAACTAGAACAAAACTAGAACAGAACTAGAACAGAACTAGAACAGAACTAGAAGAACAGAACTAGAACGAACAGAACTAGACAGAACTAGAACAGAACTAGAACAGAACTAGAACAGAACTAGAACAGAACTAGAACAGAACTAGAACAGAACTAGAAAGAACAGAACTAGAACAGAACAGAAAAAAAACTAGAACAGAAAAACTAGAACAGAACTAGAACAGAACTAGAACAGAACTAGAACAGAACTAGAACAGAACTAGAACAGAACTAGAACAGAACTAGAACAGAACTAGAACAGAACTAGAACAGAACTAGAACAGAACTAGAACAGAACTAGAACAGAACTAGAACAGAACTAGAACAGACTAGAACAGAACTAGAACAGAACTAGAACAGAACTAGAACAGAACTAGAACAGAACTAGAACAGAACTAGAACAGAACTAGAACAGAACTAGAACAGAACTAGAACAGAACTAGAACAGAACTAGAACAGAACTAGAACAGAACTAGAACAGAACTAGAACAGAACTAGAACAGAACTAGAACAGAACTAGAACAGAACTAGAACAGAACTAGAACAGAACTAGAACAGAACTAGAACAGAACTAGAACAGAACTAGAACAGAACTAGAACAGAACTAGAACAACTAGAACAGAACTAGAACAAACTAGAACAGAACTAGAACAGAACTAGAACTAACTAGAACAGAACTAGAACATAACTAGAACAGAACTAGAACAGAACTAGAACAGAACTAGAACAGAACTAGAACAGAACTAGAACAGAACTAGAACAGAACTAGAACAGACTAGAACAGAACTAGAACAGAACTAGAACAGAACTAGAACAGAACTAGAACAGAACTAGAACAGAACTAGAACAGAACTAGAACAGAACTAGAACAGAACTAGAACAGAACTAGAACAGAACTAGAACAGAACTAGAACAGAACTAGAACAGAACTAGAACAGAACTAGAACAGAACTAGAACAGAACTAGAACAGAACTAGAACAGAACTAGAACAGAACTAGAACAGAACTAGAACAGAACTAGAACAGAACTAGAACAGAACTAGAACAGAACTGGAACAGAACTAGAACAGAACTAGAACAGAACTAGAACAGAACTAGAACAGAACTAGAACAGAACTAGAACTAGAACAGAACTAGAACAGAACTAGAACAGAACTAGAACAGAACTAGAACAGAACTAGAACAGAACTAGAACAGAACTAGAACAGAACTAGATCAGAACTAGATCAGAACTAGAACAGAATTAGAACAGAACTAGAACAAAACTAGAACAGAACTAGAACAGAACTAGAACAGAACTAGAACAGAACTAGAACAGAACTAGAACAGAACTAGAACAGAACTAGAACAGAACTAGAACAGAACTAGAACAGAACTAGAACAGAACTAGAACAGAACTAGAACAGAACTAGAACAGAACTAGAACAGAACTAGAACAGAACTAGAACAGAACTAGAACAGAACTAGAACAGAACTAGAACAGAACTAGAACAGAACTAGAACAGAACTAGAACAGAACTAGAACAGAACTAGAACAGAACTAGAACAGAACTAGAACAGAACTAGAACAGAACTAGAACAGAACTAGAACAGAACTAGAACAGAACTAGAACAGAACTAGAACAGAACTAGAACAGAACTAGAACAGAACTAGAACAGAACTAGACAGAACTAGAAACAGAACTAGAACAGAACTAGAACAGACACTAGAACAGAACTAGACAGAACTAGAACAGAACTAGAACAAAACTAGAACAGAACTAGAACAGAACTAGAACTAGAACAGACTAGAACAGAACTAAAACAGAACTAAAACAGAACTAAAAGAGAACTAAAACAGAACTAGAACTAAAGTGGAAATGTTTAAAACTTTGTACATGATTAAACATGCCTTCCTCCATAGCAGTAGTTTCCCCATAAAAATATGTAGAGACATTAATCTTTATTCACTGCAGTCTCACATATTTAGTTCGTTATAAGTTCATTTTCAAATGGAAACATATGTTTTGTATGAACAACTCCTATGCATGGCATAAACAACATTTTCAACTGAGGATCATTGCTCTTTGGTGGCAGGGCATTTTTTTAGAAAAATACATTGCTTATCTTTAGAAAAAAAAACTGTGCTATAAGAAATATTTAGTAGCAGAAAAAAGGGTATGTGAAAGCTATAAGATTAATCATGATAATGTATAATAATATTTGAATACAAATTTTTGAAAAATAGTTTTGTGGAACTTAATTAAGTTTATAAAAGACACTTAATAAATTGCTTTTAATGGAATTTTAAAATATATCTATTTGTTTTCTTTAATTACAGAATACGACTTTTATTGCTGTCGGAAAGTGTACGGTTCATGTAGGACCTCCTGCGATAATGTAAGTTTTATTTTAACGTTAATATTCAAATTCAACCTGTGGTAAGCGTTAAATTATTTTATTATTTTTCTGTGTGTGTTTTAAAACTGACATTAAAACTGATTAATGACAGCAAACTACTTTAAATTGAAACTAAAAATAAAGTTATTTTAAGTCAAACTGTCTTGTCTCAAAACCGTTCACCAAACATTGGCGTTTAAGCCAAGTAACGCCTTTTTAGCACATGCAGAGCTGTAGCAAGACCAGTAAAAGACTTGTTGAAATTATTAGTTGAAAAAAAAAAATTGAACTAGTTTTTATAAAAATTTTTATCAGTTTTATGCATTTTTGTTAATAGAGCATATTTAAATATAAATGACTAGGCTTTTATCATTTGATGGAGTAACTAACACTTTACAATGACATCAAACAACCGACCAAAACATAACGCAAAAAGGATATCATTTCACTTTGAATGTCTGCTGCAAGTTTTATTGGCCATTTTGACATTTCACAATATATTTTCATTATTATTAATTTACTGACCCAGGTTTCTTGGAAACTTGTTGCTGAATTTTTTCATTGTAAAGAGTAAGAATAAAAACAATATGTCATTTTTAGTTTGACAGTTAATCAAGCATACTTGCAGCTAGCATGTGTGTGGTTTAGATTTTTTTATAATAAAATATTATGCAAATTTTTAGAAAAGATATTAATAATGAATGAATTTTTAATGAAAAATATGAAAAAAAATTTTGGCTAATTGAAGGTTGAAGCTAAAAATACTGTACAAAACTTTTTCACAGAAAATACAAAGTTTTAAAAGCCAAAGAGTTGCGCTCAACTTTGTGGTTAAAGTTGAGTAATGGCGCGAAGATATTGACAAGGAGAAGAACTCTACTCCTTGCAGAATCCTACTACGGGATTCTTGTTTTTCAATATTCTACATCAATTCTAAAGAAGTTTCTAGATATTTTGTCAAGAGAAAGAACTTTACTCCAAAAAACAGATGAATATTCCGCGATCACATAGGCAATATGTAACAGCTAGAAGTTCTAACAATGATCGAGAACTTAAGAAGCTACAACAGAACTAGAAAAGAACTAGAACAGAACAGAACAGAACTAGAACAGAACTAGAACAGAACTAGAACAGAACTAGAACAGAACTAGAACAGAACTAGAACAGAACTAGAACAGAACTAGAACAGAACTAGAACAGAACTAGAACAGAACTAGAACAGAACTAGAACAGAACTAGAACAGAACTAGAACAGAACTAGAACAGAACTAGAACAGAACTAGAACAGAACTAGAACAGAACTAGAACAGAACTAGAATAGAACAGAACTAGAACAGAACTAGAACAGAACTAGAACAGAACTAGAACAGAACTAGAACAGAACTAGAACAGAACTAGAACAGAACTAGAACAGAACTAGAACAGAACTAGAACAGAACTAGAACAGAACTAGAACAGAACTAGAACAGAACTAGAACAGAACTAGAACAGAACTAGAACAGAACTAGAACAGAACTAGAACAGAACTAGAACAGAACTAGAACAGAACTAGAACAGAACTAGAACAGAACTAGAACAGAACTAGAACAGAACTAGAACAGAACTAGAACAGAACTAGAACAGAACAGAACTGGAACAGAACTAGAACAGAACAGAACTGGAACAGAACTAGAACAGAACTAGAACAGAACTAGAACAGAACTAGAACAGAACTAGAACAGAACTAGAACAGAACTAGAACAGAACTAGAACAGAACTAGAACAGAACTAGAACAGAACTAGAACAGAACTAGAACAGAACTAGAACAGAACTAGAACAGAACTAGAACAGAACTAGAACAGAACTAGAACAGAACTAGAACAGAACTAGAACAGAACTAGAACAGAACTAGAACAGAACTAGAACTGAACTAGAACTGATGCTAGAGATGCTACCGGACTTTCGGTTTCTGCAGTTGGCCTTGAGAACTGCTTTTGTTCCGAAATAAATGGAAGGGTGCCATCTACATTAACCTCTTGCAGTCACCAGAATGATCGACAATCTTGAGACGTTAGTGGGTTACTAGTTGTTCTTAGATCAAGACAAGATCATTGGTGGTGTTCTGATCAAACCAATTTATTGAAAATTTAACGTCAGAGTAAGTTGTACTTCCCGACATAAGTTGGAGAAAGCATTTAGAATCTGTTCGGTTTCCACAGTTAGCATTGGGGAAATTTTTGTTATCAATGGAAAAATGTTCTTGCCATCAGCAATAAGCAGAGGATGTTATCGTAGTACATCTTTGAAAAGGAATTAAGTCTCTTTCTCCATTCAGACAAAGAAGTCTAATTATCCAATATACTTCAACTGAGGACATCCAAGTTTGCATGACTTTTTCGAATGATTTCTCTGACGTTAGAATACTAGTTATCTATGACCGATTTCTCTCGGATTGTGCAATAGGCAGTGAGCGATCCATGCAGTATAAAACCACCGACGAATTGGTAGAATGTCGTTCAGAGTCGTTTAAAGAGAAGGACTCCTGCGATGTTCTTCCATTTTGTCTGCAGTTGTGTTAGATATCCATGACAGAATCTTCTAAGCATCTGCAACATACTGTGATCAGGGAATTAGTAACGTGTCTTTAAATGCCGTTCAAACGAATTAAGTATGAGCCTCAAGCAGGATCCATTTCCTCAATCCTGAAGTGCTGAACTTTGTGAAGTCGAACTTCAAACCACTGCTCCGATGTTTCTCCATTAAGAATTCTAGTTATCAGCGATAAAATCTTCTCTGCTTCTGTGATGCACAGTTAACAATTATTACACCGTAGCCTAGAAGTAAGGAGACTGTCATTGAAAGTCTTTTAAATCACTCCTCTTTAAGCCGTCCATTTGTAAACTCGAAATATAAATTACCTGGAACCGCATCTGCTCTTATAGTTTTTATGGACTACGGTATGTCTAAAAGACAAGTACAATAAAGAGATTCTTTTCAAGAGAGCATTACTTTCTGTGGTAGAAAAGTATCGACATCAGAAGCGGAAGCATATGGATCCATTTCAAGCAGGATCCATTTCCTCAATCCTGAAGTGCTGAACTTTGTGAAGTCGAACTTCAAACCACTGCTCCGATGTTTCTCCATTAAGAATTCTAGTTATCAGCGATAAAATCTTCTCTGCTTCTGTGATGCACAGTTAACAATTATTACACCGTAGCCTAGAAGTAAGGAGACTGTCATTGAAAGTCTTTTAAATCACTCCTCTTTAAGCCGTCCATTTGTAAACTCGAAATATAAATTACCTGGAACCGCATCTGCTCTTATAGTTTTTATGGACTACGGTATGTCTAAAAGACAAGTACAATAAAGAGATTCTTTTCAAGAGAGCATTACTTTCTGTGGTAGAAAAGTATCGACATCAGAAGCGGAAGCATATGTGTCGATCCAATAAGATTCAGATTGAGGAGATCAATGCGATCCATTTCGGATCTATAGTGAAACCTTTTAGTTCACTTTAAAGTTCACTTACGAAAGTCAAAGTCTTGAACGGTGAAAGGTTTATGATAACCTTTGGGGCTAATAATGCACCGTTAAGAATGCTCGATTCTTGAGAGATGCTAATGGTGCTTAACGGTTTCACCCTAAGATTACAATTCGATGACTGAGTGTCATGTGCCTTTAGTGGCCATTACGTTCAGTACCAGAGTAATCTTCATGGTTCCTACATATCCCTCCAAAATAACGAGGCTAAAAGCAACAAATGAATGCTGATGACTTCCACAAAAATCGATTCTTCGCACCGGAACGATTCGGAGTTCAACGACCAAAGATTATCAACTCAGCAAAACCGACTTTACACGCGTCGCTACTACAACAATGAAAGCTGAACGTATAATTATTACAAAAGCTTCTTTTGTCGATCACGATTGAAACTGCATCACTCTCGAGTGATGTTAGAATGTCTCGTTTTCGATAGCACAAAAAACATTGGGTAGCTGCGATGAAAAAGTTGGAAATGGTTCTTGTTTCAGAAGAAATATAGTGTTCAGTGATGAATATCATTGACTAAGGACTACAGGATGTCTTAGAAGAGGCCTTTCGAGAAGACAAAATCTATTAACGAAATCCTATTCAATTAATTCTTAATTCAATTAAACTTTGGAAGACAACAAAAACAATTCATTGCAATTTTTTTTTTATAAAATCCCATGTATTTGCCCTCCTTTAAATTATGTTTTTCTTCACATTTAAAAGAACTTTTATTATGCTCTTTCGTTTAATTTTTCTTCAATTATGTATTTGATTTTATAATGACCTCAATTTCATTGTTGAACACATGTGTTTATGTCTCTTTTGACAGTTGACACTTAATGGAGCGTCACGTTTTTAATGTTTTTTTCACAGCTTCGCTGTTGCAGCATCTTTGCTTTTATACCAGAAGGTATTATTAAGGGGACATTTTATTTTATTTATATTGAAAAAAAATGAAAAACTCGAGTAAAATAAAAGAAAAATTATTGTGTTTAAAATAAATAACAGAAGCTGGCTGTAAAAATAAAATATATAGTACATAATTATTATACAACATAAATTATTAAAATATTTTTGTTTTGCTTTAAAAACAAAAAAACCCAGATGAAAGATATATAGAGCTGTTGAAAACATGAATGGATTTTAATGAGGATGGTATCAAAAGGAAATCAAAAACAATCTGGCAGCATTTTGTTTGCTAGGAATATGCGAAATAGTTGTGAATAAACTTCAAAAGCTTAATGGAAAATACTCGTAAAACACTTGTATGTATATGTAAATGAAATTTGTTGTAAACATAAGAATATATTTTCTTTATTAAAGGTTTAAATTATTGATTTTCTTTATATACTGTCTAGGGTTTTGTCTTTATAGAAAGTGGAACAAAATTTTAAAATGTTCAAAGAGCTTTTAAGTGTTTATCTTAATCATAGGAAAAGTGCGAACAAAAGACAGCAGGTTTAAAGAAATCAACTGCAGTAGACGGCAT